TGTCAGATTTCCTTGTTTCTACTTTTATGGCACCGGCATGCGCCCTTATGAAGGAGTCTAATAGCATGGAGAATGAGTCTATGAAGTTAGGAGCTAGGTTGTGATACCACATCATGGCCCCATTCGAGAGTGTTTCCCTGAACTTATTTAGTAAGACAAACTCGATCTCCCCATCCTTTCTGTCGTTGCCCTTTACTACACAGGTGTAGGACTTGACACGCTCGTTGGGATCCGAGGTTCAGTTGTATTGTGGGAGGTCTTGCATTCTGAACTTCTTTGGAAAGGTCTTCGGAGCCGCTTCCTCCGGGAACGACCTTTGTATGAACTTCTTCGAATCCACACCTTCGAAGACCGGGGGCATGCCCAGAATTTGGTCGAACCTGGAGTTATAGGTCTCGACCTTCTAGTCATTGGCTTCTATCATTTTCACACCTTTTCGATCCTTCTGGTGAGGTCCTTGAGCAATTTTACGATGACAGGCTCGGTCATCGATTCGTTATGGGTCGATCTCTCCGGTACCTGTTCGGCTGGGGTAGCTGTCCCTGGTGCTACCGTGCTGGGAGTTTTCTGGTGACTTTGCAACTGGGAAATAGCCAGTTTTTGTGCCTGCAACATTTCAAAAATAATGTGGAGGATAACCTCCCGTTCTTCCCTAGTTGGGTTTTCTGAGCCTCTTGTTGATCTCCTAGGTGCACACTCTAGTTAGTGTGCGAGCTTATGTCGATTTGTTGAGCATCGCGTTAGACCGTGTCCATGGGTATTAGGTCCGGTGCATCCCCATGGTTTCACGGTGGCAAACCAACACCTAGAGCATCCACACCGTTTTCTTCGCGGTCCTCAAGGTTGTTGTTTTCACCTCTAGTCACTGAGTTAGACATTTCAAACTGAAATCGAAGATCTTGGACAAGAACAGGTGTGCAAGATAACTTGCGTTATGTGAAAATGCTAATAACAATTAATTTTGATTATGAGATTCTAAAAATACGTGATCTATTTTTATGGTAGTTTGTTAAGCAGTTGATGTTATGTATGTGATACTTAGAGACGAAACAAGAACAAAGGAAAAATTGATAAACAAACCGATGGGTAAATTATCGGGGCCTCGAGCTTGTCGATCCAGGGCCTCGAGGTCGATTCCGAAGCTAGACAGGGATCTATCGAAGGTAATCGTGATATGGCTAACAATTATACTAAAATCAACAGAAGCTCTTTATGGCCAATGATAAACAATAAATGAAGAACAATAATGGAGATAATAAATGAAAGCAAAAATATCAAGAGAGTATGTTAAAGAGCAAAGAGAATGTTCTTGTATATTTCTTGTAGAGTGACTGGAGCAACAGAGGCAACAGGGGTTTACAAAATGGTAAGGATTCCCTTTATATAGGAAGGTTATCTCAACATAGTACAAAATATATTTATTACAAAGTTATGGAGATGGGACATTTAGCTAATGCTATGATGCAGTCTCAGAGTAGCCTGACAGGTTTTGTCGGCTGTAGCTTCATGCCTTGGAACTCCCCATTTCTATCACAGCCGTGGTCAGCATTGTCCTTAGGTCGAGCGTCGACGAACCTTGATGGAGAAAACTCGACCATAGACTTGCAGTCTCGAGACTTCGAGATGGTTTTCTAAGGCCCCCCTATGACGAGAAATTGGACCCTTCTATTTCACCGTATACATTATCAAAATAGTGTTACCACACATGGGTTGCCTCCAAAGAAGCGCTTACTTTAACGTTATGGCACGACGATGTTGACCCCATTTGGGCTATTCAGTGGTGGAGTTGTTGTTGGACTATCCTTTAGAGCAAATTCTTCTATCAAATGCCTTTCTCACGTGATACCGAGGTAATTCTTGACTCGTTGACCATTCACTTTGAAAGTTTGAGTTCCATCCTCCGACTCCAATTCAATAGCACCATACAGGGACCTACTCACAACTTTGAATGGGCAAGACCATTTGTATTTGAGTTTGCGGAAATAACTTAACTCTTGAGTTGAAGAGTGTGACCAAGTCATCAGAATATAACTTCCACTTCAGGATCTTCTTGTCATGTATAAACTTCATTCTCTACTTATACATGGCTGCACTCTCATAGGCATGGAGACGGAATTCTTCAATCCCATTGAGTTGTGTCATTCTCATGTTAGCAGCTTCGGCCTAGTTAAGATTCAACTTCTTTAAGGCCCACATGGCTTTGTGTTAAAGCTCCACTAGAAAGTGACACCTCATACTAAAAACCAACCGGTACAGTGAGGTGCCAATGGTAGTCTTAAATGACATGCGATATGACCACAACGCATCATCTAGCTTCCTTGACCAGTCAGTCATATTTCCATTGACACTATTTGCTAGGATGTTTTTGATTTCCCTGTTAGAGACTTCAACCTGACCACTCATCTGAAGATGACAAGTTGTGGCCACCTTGTGCTTTACGCCATACTCTTCAAGCAGCCCGGTGAAAGCCTGGTTGCAAAAGTGAGAACCACCATAACTAAGGATGGCCCTGGGGTACCAAACCTCGTGAATGTGTTCTTCTTCAAGAATGCAGTCACACTCCTTGCTTCATTGTTTGGAAAGGCGATCGCCTTAACCCATTTGGAGACGTAGTCCACAACCACCAAGATGTAATTCATGCCATAAAAGCTCACAAAAGGGCTCATGAAGTTTATCCCCCACACATCAAAGATCTCGACCTCCATCACAAAATTCATAGGCACCTCATGTCTTTTAGATATTGACCCTTGTCTTTGACATTGATCGCATACCTTGACCATTGATTTGCATATTGGTAGATCGATGGCCGATAGTAGCCACATTCAAGAACTTTGGCTGTTGTCTGGTTTCATCCATGATGACCCCCAACAGGTGAATCATGGCATGCTTTGAGAATTGGAATTACCTCATCTTCCGAAACACACCACCGAATGAAGTTGTTGGAACAAATACGAAACAAAAAGGTTTCCTCCCAATATTACTGCCCACACTCCTGCAAGAACTTTTTATTTTGATAAGCTTCCAATCCATCGGGAACAAGGTCACTAACAAAAACGTTAGTGATGTCGGCATACAAAGGAGCGAATGTGCTAGACAATGCCAATATGTGCTCATCTCGAAAGGCATCATTGATTTCTAGTTCTTTTTTTTGTCTCCCTGCCTCTTCAAGCCTAGATAGGTGATCCGCAACTTGAATTTTCTGTCCATTTTCGGTCCTTGACTTCAAAATCAAAATCTTGCATCAAAAGGACCCACCAAATCAATCTTGGTTTGGCATCCTTCTTCACCATAAGATATAGAAGAGCAGCATGATCGGTGTAAACTATCACTTTTGACCCCAACAAATAAGCTCAAAATTTTTCAAAAGCATAGACAATGGAAAGAAGTTCTTGCTCAGTCAAGGCGTAATTCATTTGAGCACCATTAAGTTTCTTGCTTGCACAATATACAAGTGAAGGATTTTGTGATGCGGTAGACCAAGAACCGCCCTAATAGCTACCACACTAGCGTCACACATGAGTTCAAATGGAATGGACCAATCGGGTGGGACAATAATAGGTGTCATGGTGAGCTTTTCTTTCAACTCTTCAAAAGCTTTAAGACACTTCTCAACAAATATTAACTTTGCATCTTTTTCAAGGGGGTTGCACATGGGATTTGGAATTTTTGAGAAGTCTTTGACAAAACGCCTATAAAAGCCGGCATGCCCCAAAAGACTTCGGACACCTCTTACTAAATTGGGTGAAGGAAGCATGGAAATGATTTCGATCTTATCCCGGTCAACCTATATGCCTTGTTTGGAAATCTTGTGGCCCAAAATAATGCCTTTGTCCACCATGAAGTGGCACTTCTCCTAGTTTAGCACAAGGTTTGTTTCTTCACATCTTTTGAGCACTTGCCTAAGATTGTCAAGACAATGCTCAAAGGAATCACTCACAATAGAGAAGTCATCCATAAACACCTCTGCGAAATCATCCACCATGTCCGAGAAGATTGACATCATGCACCGTTGAAAAGTGGCTGGGCGTTGCATAACCTAAATGGCATACGGCTAAAGGAAAACGTCCCATATGGGCATGTAAATGTTGTCTTCTCTTGATCTTCCAATGCGATGTTGATTTGGTTATAGCTGGAATATCCATCCAAGAAGCAATAAATTGACCTTCCTGCTAGCCGATCAAGTATTTGATCAATAAAAGGAATATAGAAATGGTCCTTGCAAGTAGCACTGTTTAGATTCCCGTAGTCCATCCAAACTCTCCACCCAATCACTATTCGCGTCAGGATGGGCTCATTCTATCATTTTCAATCAGGTCATGCCTTTTTTATTTGGCACGCATTGCACCGGACTCACCAAAGAAATATCAGCAATGGAGTAGACTACCCCGAAATCTCAGAATTTGATGATTCTTTCTGTACCACCTCTTGAATAGAAGGGTTTAACCTTCTTTGATGTTCCACACTTGGTTTGCTCTCTTTCTCCAATTGTATCTTGTGCTCACAAATTCCGGCGAAAATCCCTCAGATGTCCGCTATTGTCTACCCAATGGCTTGACTATGCTCCCTCAAGACATTCAACAAGTGTTCTAGATGCACATCATTCAACAAAAAGAAACTATTGCCGGTAGAGTTTCATCAGAGCAAAGAAATTTATACCTCAAATGCGGTGGAAGTGGCTTGATCTCAAGCTGTTGTGGTTCAATAATTGAAGGATTGGCGGGAGGAGTGACTCTATTCTCTGAATGAAGAGAAGTTTCTTTGGTGCATAGCTGTAGGACCCGTCCTTCTAATGAAATCCCCAGTTCCATGTACCCCTCTATGTCTTCACCATTAAAATTTACCAAAATAGCCGCCAATGCCTCACCAAGGCATTGTTCTTTCATGTTCATCTTGATTGTGTCTTATTCCTCATTGAAAACATCAATGACTTAGATGCTTTCATATGCATGTGGAAACTTCATACCCTTACTTGCTTGAAAGGTAACCTCTTCGTCATTAACTCAGAACTTGATCTCATTTCGTTTCGAGTCCATAAGTGCTCTTCCAGTAGCAAGGAATGGCCTCCACAAGATGATAGGGATTTCTTTGTCAATAACACAATCAAGGATCACAAAGTCGGGGGGAAGGAGAAACTTCCCCACTTTCACAAGAACATCATCAACAATACCCATCCGTCTCTTTATTGAATGATTGACAATTTGCAACCTCATACTTCTAGGCCTCGGCATACCTAACCATGCTTGCTTGTAAATATCAAGAGGCAATAAATTGATTCTAGCCCTACTTTTACAAAGAGATCTTGCAATATCGCGCACCCCAATAGTGCATGAAATGGTAAAAGCTCCCGGGTCTTCTTTCTTTTGAACGGCCGTTGTTGCAAAGATGGAACTGACTCGGTGAGTCACATTCACCACTTCATTCTTGGTAATTCTCTTGTTGGTGATCAAGTCTTTCAAATACTTGGCAAAATCCGGCATCTCTTGAAATGCTTCCACAAATGGAATATTCACCGATAATTTCTTGAGAATGTCATAGAACTTTTCAAGTTTGCTATCATCAACCTTCCTATCAAGTCTTTGAGGGAAAGGAGGAGGAGTTCTAGGAATCGATGTTAGTGATTTTGGTGTCCCTTTCACGTTTTCCTCAACCTGTTCCCGGTTCACTTCTTGAATTTTCACTTCTTCTAAGACCATTACAGATTCAAAAACAATTGGCACCTCAACTTGTGCCTCGACTTCTTGTTCGGAATCTTCCACTTCGTCCACTTGTTCATTCTTTCCTTGATGTATTTTCCCACTCCTAGTTGCGATTTCCATACAATGAGAAGTTGGACTACTCCTACTACATTTTTGATTTGCAATTATGTCACTTGGGAGTGTACCCTGTTTCTTCAGATTTTTCACTCTTGAGAGATCTCTCATTTTTGTCTCCAAATTTTGAATAGATGCGGCATGATAAACCACAAGCTCGGTCATATTCCTCATTGAAGTGTCGCATCTTTTTTGATTTTCCAAAACTCGTTCAAACATGTTTTCCAACTTGGAATAACTTGAAGAATCTTCCTTCCGATGCGGAGAGTTGGAATATTGCCCCTTTTGTGGAACATAGGGGTTTAAACACCGATTAGAAAAGTTGTTGTCGTTTTTACTCCAATTCCCTTGACCATTTTGCCACTGTTGGTTGCCTCGCCCTTGCGGTTTAGGCCTCCATTGGTTTTGTTGTCCTGAACCTTGGTAGGGTTGCCTTTGATAACCTCCTTCATAGTTATTTACATAATATGCTTCCTCATTATCCTCATTTGATGTGGGTTGAACGTCTTCCATCACATTCACCTTTTTTGTTTGGCTTTCAGTGAACATCTTTGTCAACACATTGACGTTGGTGGCAAGCCTGACAAATACTTGATTTCTTTCTTGGTTCTCCTTAATAATGTTGGTCAAGGAAGGATTACCATATGCAATTCCACCCGTGGTATCCTCTGAGTGCCAAGTTTGGTTATGTGTTGCCATATTGTCAAGGATTTGTGTCAGTCTCGTAGTCCAAAACGTAAATGTTCAGGGTGATCTCCCGGGATACCTTCCTGTAGTCCCAAAGGTAAATGTGCAGGGATACTCCTGGAATACCGTTCCGTAGTTTCAATATAAATGTGCAGGGGGATCTCCTGGAATATCGTTGTGTAGTCCCAATATAAATATGTAGCATAGGGGAATCTCTTAGAATACCGTTTCATTGTCCCAAAGAAAATATGCAACTCAACCAAACAGAGATAGCAGGTATAGTAATAAAATCACAATTTAGGCTAAGTCCGAGTCAAGGAAAAACAGGAAGTTTAACTAAAAAATGATGCACAGAGTTCAGATAGCCAGTTAAGACAGTTAACACACGTAGGCATGCTTCCCTGACCTAAGCAAGATAATTACATATGCTAGTGTTGCTCAATTAAAAGAAAAATAGATATTTGCTTAATGAAAACGGGGTTTTCAACAAATAGTCCATGTACGCTCTCATCACCTCACATGTACGACGCTCATATATCAAACGACACAAATCCTATGGGAGTTTCCAACACAAGATTAGGCAAGACACTTACCTCGAACCAAGCTCAAATCAATCTGAAATCACGTTCTTGCCACGAGTATCCAACTTCCAGTGGCCCAAATCTAATCAAATCAATTACATAACGTAAATATAGCTACAAGCAACTAATTTAGCTAATGAATTCAAAGCAAAGGCAAGAAAATAAAAAAAAAACACCCAAAAATCTCCCTGGGCCCACGTCTCGGCATCAGGTAAAAGTCACAAATTATGAACACCCATTCACTCACGAGTTCATTCATGCAATAATCATCCAAAACCGACATCTAATTCCCACTCAAACCTCATATATTTGATTAGGGAAATTTTCCACCAATTCCCAAACTCCCACCCTCAAATTCCTTAATTAGATGAAGAACACAACAATAGATTAATGTAATATGATCAAAATTGAGTTTCAGATTAGTTAACCAATATCTCTCCTTCAAAATATCTCAAAAAAGCAGCCTTCCATTGAGCTCCAAACTGAATTTTGTGATATGAAATTTCAACCCACGAATCTGCCCTTTTCTGCCATCGATTTCCGCTTTTGCGTTCCAAGGACCGCATATGTGGTCCAACTTCTGCAATAGAGACTCCGCATCTACGAGTTTTCATTAAACTATAGAGTTCAAACCCGTGCTCCTTCCTCCGCAGCTGTGGATGCGCTTCTGCGGCTAAGATGTCAGCTTCTGTGACCTGCCACCGCTTTTGCGATTCTTTATCCGCAGGTTCGTGTCCGCTTTTGTGGTTCCTTCACCGCACCTGCGACTATTGGCTACCAAGACAGTGGCTGCATCTGCGATTTCATCCTCGCTTCTATGAGGCAGCACTTGCGGGCCTTCCACTGCCTGTGCGAAAACACTAGTTGATTGATCCCTTCAATAACAACTCAACTTCAATATTTGATTCTTTAAACACACGAAACTCACCCGAGGCTACCAGGACCTCAACCAAACATGCCATCCAATCTTGAAACACCATAAAAACTTAGTCGAGCCCTCAAATAACCTCAAACAATGCTAAAAAAACCAATCATATTCCAATCCAAACTTTAAGAACTTGAAACTTTAAAATTTTACAATCGATGCCCAAACCAACCAAGCCACATTCGATTGACCTCAAGTTTTGCACACAACTCATATTGAACATTACGGACCTACTCCAACTTCCGACCTCGATATCAAAATTTACATTACCGGCCCGAAACATCAAAAATTCAACTTTTGCCATTTCAAGCATAAATGAGCTACAAACTTCCCAAAAACAATCCAAACATGCCCCTAAGCCCAAAATCACCTCACGAAGCTAATGGAGTTGACGAAGCTCCATTTCGGAGCCGTTTTCACAATGTTCCAACTACGGCCTAAGTTCTAAGACATAAGCTCTCATTTAGAGACTAAGTGCCCCAAAACACTCTGAAACACAAAACGAACCCTCCCGGCAAGAAACCATGGCAGAAATAGATATCGGTGAAGTAGTTGATAGGGGATCAGAGCTCGTACTCTCATAACAATCGACAGGGTCATTACACGTACCCGCCTATTCAAGCTAACCTAGCGCCTATATGTCTATGGAATAAGAACTAACAAGAACGCACTTTTTAATTCTTGTACTTCAACCAAGCAAGGAAATTAGGCATATGTCTATCCTAAATGAGAATTTGTTCCCCGATGCGTAGGTTCAAGAACTTGCTCTACTCAATCCTATATGCAATCTGGAATTCTCACTTTCGAGTTCAATTCTAGATTCGTAGATAGTATTCAATTGGTGATCAAGAAATCAAATAATTAAGCGCAAGATTGAATAAATAAACCAATATGACAAACTAAGAAATTAAAATAAATATCCGGATAACAATAGTCATGGAAGAACCACAACCGTAGAACGTTAAGTTTAGCTCCATATAGACATGGTAGCCAAACAACAAATCATACAAATTCACTATGTTTGATGAAAGAAAGATGAAACCCAGCCTCCACGGCGGCTCTGTTCTCTCCCTATGTCAAACGTTACAAAAATAATATTTTTTACATGTATTTATACCAATTAGGGTTGGACCCAGACGAAAACAACTTCTCCACCGAAATAGGAAAATAACTCTATAAAATTTACACATGCGCGCTGCATGGGGCGACGCACCACGAAGTGTGCTTGTGGGGAACTTCAGAGAGCATGCAATCTGAGGGCAACGACAATTTACACAGTTGTGGCGCATTACGCGGCGTTGCTTTTAAAATGTAGAAAAATGTAAAACATCAATGTTGTAGATATTTTCAATATCTTTCCAACGATATATTGTGGAGACCAAACGGATTTCTGAGCAAAACGTTGTGTGTATTTTGCTGGATAATGTGCAGTATGCCTGCTCGATTTTTCGTTTCGTTCTTAAAGTGCACTATCATCCATTGATCCTCGAACAGGATCCCAGCATAATCCTTGGGCCTTTACTGAGACTTCAAAGCTCCTGAATAGCTTGAATTCATTCCATAACATCTACATAGATCAATATCACTCATACAAGGCATAAAACACACATTTCGTGCAAAACACTAGCGATTAAAGCTCAAATTCAATTAAACTGCAGCAAATTAGAGTGTAATAATAGACTAAAATACGTAATCGTAGCCTGTCATACGTATCCCCCACAAATAGGAGCACATATTAACTATAATTCACCTATGGGGTTAATTCACTCTTACAAGGTTAGAAAAGAGACTTACCTCGTCTCAAAGCGTACTTTCCGGTCCAAGGTTCTGCTCATACCCCAAATTTAGTGCCAAATGACTCGAAACAAATCAAATATTATGTAATGAAATCAATACATACTCAAAAGTTCATATTCTAACTATCAATGTGATCTCCCAAGTATATTTGAAGAATCCCTAAAATTCACCCCCGGGCCCACGTGCTCGGATTCTTAAATTTTTTGAAGAAAGTTGTTATCAATAACCCCATGAACTCAAATATATTATTTTTACTGAATTCCATAACGAATTTCGTTGTCAAATCAGATTTTTATCAAAAACCTTGGTTTTCACCTAAATCCATAATTTTCACTAATTTACATGTTATAATCTACCCATAAACTATGTATTTAACTCACATTATATAGGAATTACTTACATCTGAGTGCTAAGCAAAATCTCCTCACTAAGAGATCCAAAAATTGCACAACAATGGAATAAATGAGCCAAAATGACTAAGTACCATTTTACAAGAGACCTCACTGCCTCCAGCGATCTCGCACATGCGGTCGCACGGCCACGCCTGCATCATCGCTTTTGCAGACAAAAGTCCGCTTCTGCGGAAGTGTCCAAGCATGCTGGCTTCGCTTCTATGGACAGGGTACTGCTTTTGCGGAGCGTGGGGCGCACCTGCGGATCCTTGGCTGTGCCTCCTTGGGTGCTTCTACAAGCTAGCACCTGCGGCTGGCCAAGCGCAGGTACGATTATGACAGCAACTTGGAGCTTCAGCTATTCCTCCCAAGTTCTAACTTTGTCCGAGCCTCATCCGATTAGCACCTGTGGCCCCCCAGGCCCCGCCCGAATATACCAATAAGTTTGAAATCATAAAACAGACTCGCTCGAACACTCGAAATTCACCTAATAACGCTAAAAAGAAGAATCACACTGCAAACCAATTGAATCAAAACAATGAACTTCAAGTTCTTTAATTTACTCCCAATGCGCCGAAACTACTAGGAATGACACAAAATTTTGCGTGCGAGTCATAAAAGGTATTACGAAACTATTCCCAGTCTTTGAATCCCATTTGGACCTTGATATCAGAAAAACCTGCTCCAAAAATTTTTAAGAACTTCTAAAACTATCGAAGAACAAACTTTCACTATTATGCGCGAAAATGCTCCGGGTCATCCAAAACCCGACCCGAATGGATGTCCGATTCCCAAATCATCAAATAAACCTATTGGAACTGCAAATATTGATTCCGAGGTGGTTTTCTCAAAATGTTGATCGAAGTCATAAATGCCCTTTTAAGCCAACCTTAAGGAACTAAGTATTACGATTTCAACTCGAACCCTTCCAAATCTCGAACTAACCATCCCTGCAAGTCGTAAAATAGTAAAAGAAAATTGTCACGCCCTAACCTCGGGAGGCGCGACCGGTGCTCAATCGAGTGAACCCCAACTGAGCAAGCCTTATTAATACATTTCTACCCCAAATCAATAATGTTAAGGGGACCACGCTATCATTTATTTAGACAATAGTAAAATTTGAACATTCACATTGTTAAACCATTTTCATGCCACAAACCTTAAAACATAGTTATGTTTTCAAAATTTCGTACAGTTATAGTTTAGAAGAGCTAGAGTACAAAGTTATACCATGGTTCATTGACCTATCAATACCCGTACATAACCCACAAAATCGTCTACGGAGCCTCTAGGGATACAACAGACAATAATGACAAT